CCCGCCTCAAAGGCGGTAGTTCCAGGGCGGCGGCGGCCGACGCGCGCGCCGAGCGGCGCCTCACCGCGTTATGCGCAGCGCAAAGAGGCTCGTCTGTGCAGCCACACTCCCCTTCTCCCTGCACCCTCAACCCCTCGACCCCAAGAATAGCAGGCGACAAATTATGTGATGCCACAACCGACAAAGCGCTGACCTGGCGTCTCCGCTGAGCAGGGCGCCGCCCCCCGCATTGACCCTCACGTCCAGATCTCGATCCGTCCAAGATCCCTCCGCTTGGCGCCGCACCAGCGCCCGCTCGTCTTCCAGAGTGGCGGCGCCGCGGAGCCAGTCCCAAGCTCTCTGCAGCTGCTTTGCGGACCCGCGCACGCGCGGCGGCGGCCGGGAGGAGGGGGGGAGCGGGCCACGCGGACGCGGCTACCATGGAGCAGCAGGAGGCAATGGCGAAATCAGCAACGCAGCCAGGGCCGAGGCGCGCACCCGAAAGCCTTGAGAACAGGGCATGATGTGGGCGCGACGAAGAAACCCGCGGCTGCTCCTGGCAGGCTGGCTTGAGGCTGTCTTGGGGCCTGCCATGAAGGTAATATCAAGCGTCTGCAGATACTATCTGCCTCCTCATATCCACGAGGTGCCGCCGCCCGGCTGTCCGCATCCCTGATGATTGCACCATCCTTCCACGCCAGGACAGCGGGACGCGGGTGGAGACGTGTCCATTCAGGGGCGCGTGCGGTCGAGCCCCGGGTGGGGCCCTGCGCACCTTTAGCCAGCGCTGGGGGCACAGCGTGAGCACTGTTCCGCTGTCGACACTGATGATGAAAACGTTTTCCCCATCGAGGGCTGGGTCTATGTGGGGGTCAAGCCTGGGAGGGGGGGTGAGGGGTCAAGGGGGTTTACGCATGCATACTTGTGTGCATGCATGCGTGTGTGCGTGTGCGCGCGCGCGTCTGTTTGCATGTGCACACGTGCAGGCCCTCAGCAGTGCATGCAGGCGTGAGGCTGCAAGCGGCCAAGGGGGCTGCACTGGTTCATCACACGACTCCGCACGCGTCCCTGCTTAAACCTCATCACCTCAAACCCATCCGCCATCGAACCCTGCCCGCCCCCTCCCCGTCGCCCAGGCCCCGTCCACCCGTCTCCTTGCCTGTAAAAATGGTGGTGCCGCCAGTTGATCGTCACGTCCCGCAGCGGCCCCAGCCGCAGCCCTGGCAGCCGCCTCAGGCGCTCAGCCAGGTCCCTCAGGCGCGGCGGCAGCCCGGCCTCGTCAAAGGCGTCGCCGTAGCCCCAGGGCGGCGGCCGCTGCCCCTCCTGCTCGGGCCGGGCTGGGGTTTCGGGAGCGAGGATGAGGGTGAGGGTGAAGATGAGATGCAGTGTCCCTCGGTCGCCCCACTTTTGGACCCTCCGTTCAAACTTGAGGGATGGGTTGATTGGACGCTGACTGTGCGTCGCTGGCAGTGGCTCTCATGGACCGCGGAGGCAGGCAGGAGAGCAATCACCATGAGTCATGGCCGGCGGCAGCCATGCGTGGCTGGGTGAGGCGCTCAGGCATGGCAGAGAGGCCGCCAGCAAAGCCAGGGTGCGTGACCGGCGTGAGTAATGATGACTCACCGGTGACCCGCAGCATGTTGACTTGGGTGGTGCCTGGCGGAAGGTAGCCCATCTGAGATGCAGCACATACAGGATGAAAATCAAATACCAAAGAAAAAGAACCAGCTTGCGTGACAGAGGCTGGCAAATATGTTCAGGCTGACGGCCAGTCGGTTGCGTGGGGGGCGTGCACGGTGCAACTCCGGCCCTTTGACAGACAACATCCAGACCGGCAGCAGCGCCGCACGCCAGCGGCATCGCAAGGCAGCGAAGCAGGGGCACGGCAGTGCGCGCCACCGCAGTCGGTGGATGCCACCGGCAGCACATGGGGCGAGCGGTCTGGTCCCAACCTGAAAGCGGTACACGGCCGCCGCCGCTGGTGATATGAGGTTGATGCCATGGGCCGCCTTGAGGGGCTGGAGCTCCCGCACCAAAGCAGACGCCTCGTCATCGCTGAGTAACCCGGGGTACACCCTGACGCCTGCCACGCACGCATGTGGGTGTATGTTGTGGGCGGGCAGCTAGGGAGGCGCTACTGGAAGATCGGCGGGAGGGGACTGCAGAGGGGGTGAGGGCGGGGCGCTGGCGGTTGCAGTCGTCAGCCGCAACTCCTTCGATGGCAGCATTCTGGCTGCGCAGGCGCGGCAGGGTTTGAAGCCTGCGTACCTGGGTTTTCTGCCGGCGGCACTGCCTGTTGCGAGCCCACGCGGCGAATGAAGCTGGAGTGTTCTATGCCTGGCGCGTCGTGCGCGGCGCCCTTGTTGCTGCTCGGCGGCGCTGCCCACACATATGCAGCTCCTGCACCAGCACCAAGACATGTTGCGATGCCTTTGAAACTAGCCCGTAGCATCCAAGCACACAATAGAGCACCGGTACTCCGGGAGTGTGCTGGAAGATCTACACGCACGCTAGCTTGTGCTAGCTACGAAAATGGCAGTACGTTGTGGAGTAATGGGAATCATATCGCACAATTGAGCGCGCATGATGTAGGGCACCTGTCCCGCTGGTGGGCATCACAATGGCCGGGACATGCTTTACTCGTTCCAGTGTGACTGCAGTGCATGAGCACCGGCCAGCAGGTGGGCGGCTGCCTCTGGGGCGAAGCCCTGCTGCAACCTTCCCGACACACGCGTACTCCCCATGACACTGCGACCTGAACGCCAATGTGCGTCCGACCGGCAGCAGTCGCGCTGACTTGAGGCCAGCGCAACCTGTGTGTTGCCACCCGCCAGGAGAAACAGCGGCGCCGCCTTTGTGGAAAACACTGTCGACCTGCTGCTGCGACCCAAAACCTTCTGATACCAGGTGTTCAAGAGGTTACACAGGGCTGGGCCACACAGGAACAGACCGCCCGCGACAAGAGAGCCATCAACAGTCGAAACCGGCGGGGCCTGCACTATGCACTTGCAGCCCCGCCACCCGCTCCTGCGCTGCTGCTGGTGCTGCTGCTGGTGCTGGTGCTACTGCTGCTGCTGCTGTCGGCGTCTGCCGTGGCCACAACCCTCGCGGTCGCATGTGCTGCGCACTCGCCGGTGGCGCGCCCCGCGGGCGACGCATAGAGTGGATCGCTGCAGCGGGGCTGTGGGGGAACGGCGCAGGCAGCAGCAGAGCCATTGCCATTGCCGTTGCTGAGCTGCACGGTCGATGTTCGGCGGCTGCCGCTTTGCCAATCTCTCCTGCCGCCGTTGCTTGCAAAGCCATGGCTGCTGCTACCGCCATTGCCGCCGCCATTGCTGCTGCTGCTGCTGCTGCTGGGAGTGGCGGTGGCCGTGATGCTTGCACCGCTGCCGGCACTGCTGCTGGCGCTTTCAGCCACTCCATCCACTTCACCTCCGCTGCTGCTGTCGCTGCTGCCGCCGCCACCGCCGCCATCCCACGCGCCCCCGCCGCCCGCTCGGCTCCTGCCTCGCTGCAAGCCCCGCGCGCCCCCCGCTGCCGCCGCGTCGCCCCGCCCCTCCCCCTCGCCGCATACGGCCGCTGCATTCGCCGCGAACCACGGCGCTGCAGGGTGGCGCGTCGCTACGTAGCATTTGGCGAGCCGTGCCCAGTGCGGCGGGTGCAGGCCCGCGGCGGCGCCGAGGCCGGCTGGATCGTCCTCGACGGCGCGCTCGGCCCTGGCCCTCACGGCGGCCATCAGGCCGGGCGCCGGGAACCGCAGGCTCGCAAGCGCCGCCAGCAGCCGCGCCGCGTCGTGCCACGCGAGCGCGTCGCACCGCCGCTCCGCCTCCGCGGCGACGGCGGCGCAGAGGCCGCGGTGGCGCTGCTGCTGCGACGCGAACGCGAGCGGGAGCTGCGACAGCTCGTGCGCGGTCAGGTCCGCAAACGCGCCGCCGGCGCCCGCACCGGCGCCACCGCTGCCGCTGCCGGCGCCCCCATCGCGGCGGTCGGCGTCTGCGGCAACCAGCGCGGTGCCGAGCGACGAGAACACCCGCCGCCGCTGGCGCCCCGCGATCGCGAGCGACACCACGAGCTTGGCCGCCGCTCGCGGGTCCGCGGCCGCGAGCGCGCCGGCCCGCGCCTCGACCAGGTCGGCCGCGGCCGCAAACGCGGGCGAGTGCGTGTGCTTCAGCGCCGCCATCGCCCACACCCAATTCGCAAGCTCGTCGGGTGCAAACGCGCGCATAACCGCGAGCGCGCGCCGGGCGAGCGCGTCGATGAGCGGGCCGTTGTACGTGCGCGTCACGGCGAAAGCCCACGCGATGTTGGAGACGGCCTGCGGCGGCAGCCGCCACGCGCAGCGCGTCGCCGCGTCGGCGACGGCATCAAATAGCGGCGGGTCGTCGACGCGCAGGCTGGCGTACGCCCAGGCGATCTGAGAGATCTCGTGGGGCTTAAACGACGTCATGCGCGCGCGCGCGTGCGCCGCCAGAGCATCCACCAGATCCCTGCAGCAGCAACCAAGCCCCTCGTCGCCGCCGCCGCCGCCGCCGCTGCCGCCGTCGCGCCCCTCCTCGCCGTCGCCGCTGAGCAGGCACTCTTGCAGCGACAGCGCGCCGCGCTGCGACAGCCGCGCGACCGCCCACGCGACCTGCGCCATGTGCTGCGGCAGCATGTGCGGCAGCGCGCGGCGCGAGGCCGCGAGCAGCGCCTGCAGCGCCGCGGGCGGCGGGGGCTGAGAGGCGGCCGCGTGGGCGGAGAGGACGCCGACGACGTCCCTGATGGATAGGCTCCTCACGGCTGCCGGGACGTAGGGCGCCGCCTGCGCCAAGAAAGCCGCCGCCAGCCCCAGCACCGCGCGGTCCCCGCGCCGCTCGGCGGCGTGCTGCCGGGCGTCGCTCCGCTGCTGCCGCCGTCGGTGCGGCCATTGCTGCTGTTGCTGCTGCTGGTGGTGCTGCGGCTGCTGCTCCTGCTGCTGCGGCTGCTGCTCTTGCTGCTGCTGCTGCTCCTGCGACGCGCCACCCTCGTCCACCAAGCCCCACCAACGCTGCTGCTGCTGCTGCTGCTGTTGCCGCTGCTCTTGCTGCTGCTGCTGCTGCTGCTGCTGCTGCTGCTGCTGCTGCTGCGGCTGCTGCTGCGGCTGCTGCTGCTGCTGCTGCTGCTGCTGCCCCTCGCTGCCGCCGCCCCCGGCCGCGCCCGGGCGCCGCCGCCGCTGCCCCGCGCGCGCGTGGCGGCACGCAGCGCCGCACACCTGCACCACCGCAGCGAGCGGCCTCGGCCCGAGGGCCGTGAGCCTCCGCGACGCCTCTGACAGCGCGTCCCGCCACAGCTCGCAGCCGGCGTTGCCGGTCGCCGCATACGCCCACAGCACGTTTGCGAGCTCCTGCCCGCTCAGCGACGGCAGCAGCGGCGCCAGCCGGGCCGCCGCGGCGCCGAAGAAGCCGTCGTGGGGCGCCTGCATCCGCGCGAGCGCCCAGACGGCGTTGCACAGGTCCTGCGCGTTGCAGGCGTGCGCGCGTTGCTCGAGCGCCTCGGCCGCCGCCTCTCCAAACTCGCGGTCGTGCTGGCCGGCTGTCGCGAACGCCCACAAGACGTTTGACAGCTCCTGCGTTTTGAAGCCGCCGAGCAGCTGCCGCTCCCGCAGCAGCCGCTCGGCCGCCGCCGCGAAGAGCACGGACGCCGGCGTCGGGCCGCCGGCTGCCTCGGCGGCGTGGCTGCCAGCGTCCTCCGCGCCCGCGCCGCCAGACCCAAAGTAAGCGACGAGCAGGTCGGCTCCGTCACTCCCACTGGTCGAAGCGGACGCGCTGCTCGCGCGCCGCTCGGAGAGCAGCGCGCCCTCGTCCCAGGCGTGTGCGTCGTCCTCCTCGTCCCTACTGCCCGGCCATTCGGGAGCGTGGGTGAGCCCGATGGAGCGGCCCAAGGAGCCGCGCGGCGCGGGCAGAGCCGCCGCGTCGCCGGGCTCCTGCTCCTGCTGCTGCCTCTGCCGCTGTTGTTGCTGCTGCTGCTGCTGCTGCTGCTGCTGCTGCTGCTGCTGCCGCTGCCGCGGCGGCCCCGGGGCGCGCCCGAACGCCCCCGCCGCCGCCGGGGCGCCCGCCGTCTGCTGGCGCCACGCGAGCGCCTGCTGCCGCGCGGCGAACGCCCAGAGCAGCGTGGATATGTCCTGCGGCTTGAAGCGCGACATGCCGTCCGCTGACAGCAGCGCTAGCCGCTCCCAGACGGGGCAGCCAGGGTCGTAGCCCAGCCGAACCAGGCCCCATGCGCTCATGGCCAGCTCTGACGGCTGCGCATTGCGCAGCAGGCGCGCGCCGTCCGCCAGCAGCTGCTGCACCGCCGAGCCCAGCAGCGGCGCCGGCACCTGCACCCCCAGCTTCCCGAGAGCCCACACGGCGTTGGCAAACTGCCGCGCCGAGGGGAGCAGGTACACCGCCGGCAGCAGGCGCTCCGCCAGCTGCATCCCGAGCGCACAGGCCGCCTGGCGCCGCACCGCGCCCGCGCCGCCGGCGCCGGCGCCGCCCCCGCCGCCGAGCAGCTTTGGCAGCCGCGCCAGCATGGCTGCGGTGTTGATGGCGTTGAAGGACGCGCCATTCAAGGCATAAAGCTCCCGCAGCTCCTCCACGCACGCGGCCCCCATGATCCAGGATGTTATCTGAGACCCAGGGTCGCGGCAGCCCGGCCGCAGCTCCCATCTAGGGACGCTCGCCGGCGCGTCAGCGACGGGCCGCCGCGGCTGGCTGCGCTGCTGTGGAGGGCTGGGCGCTTGCTGGGTTTCCCGCGGTGGTTCCCGCTGCTGCCGTTGCCGCCGCCGCCATGGCTGCGACTGCTGCTGCTCCTGCTGCTGCTGCTGCTGCTGCTGCGGCTGCTGCTGCTGCCCTTGCTGCTCCCCTTGCTGCTCCCCCTGCTGCGCCTGACCGTCTTTGAGCGATGACAGACGCTGCTCGGAGAGTGGAACAGTGTCTGGGTCATGGGCAGAGGGCGGCCCTTGCTGTGAGTGCTGCTGCTGCTGCTGCTGCTGCTGCTGCTGCTGCGCCTGCAGCGACTGCTGCGCGCGGTAATGTACAATCGGCTGCAGCTCCTGCTGCTGCTGCGATTCCTGCTGCTGTTGCTGCTGCTGTAAGCCTGGGTGCTGTTCGGGGTGCTGCAACTGCGCGGCGGCCAGCAACGGTGACGGCTGCACGTGGTCGCGCACGTGCTGCTGCTGTTGCTGCCGCGGAGCCGCTGGCAGCGGCTGCCACGACAGCCGCGGGCCGTCCTCCTGAGAAAGGGTTTGCACCAGCTGCTGCTGGCAGGCCACCTAGGAGTTGGAAGGAAGTCATGCGGGGCTTGTTTCCAGAGCTCAAGTGCGATGATGCCACTGCAGTAGCAGAGTGCTCCTTGTGGCATCCCAAGCGGCGTGGCTCGCTCGCTGTTTTCTGGGTCGCAGAACGGCAACAGTGCCCACTTCCATGCGTGCTGCAATCGCATGAATGTCAATTGCAGGCCTCCGCGCACCTGCAGCCCAAAACTTGAGGACACGCCCAGGGCCACGCCGGCGCGCTCAGGCCGAAAGGGCAGGCTGTCGCCCCTGCCATGCCCGATCGCCGCCGCCGACACGCGCCGCTGCGCCTGCGGAGGGGTCGGCGACTTGGGGTTGGAGAGTGGTACCAGGGGCGGCGACGGGGCGGCGAGCAAAACTAAGATGTTGCGGCTCCGCCATCCACCACATGCACGCTTCCGCACACACACAGCAGAAACTCAACCCTCGCGAGTGCTTGCCCCACACACCTGAATCTCAAGCCGCTGCCACCCGCCTAGACAGGCCTGAGCAGGGCCACGGGGCCGCCCAGCACCGCCGCCACAGCTGGAGCCGCGGAGGCTGTCCTCAAGCAGCGGCGCGCCGCTGTGCCGCATGGAGGCACCTGCTCACGTGCTGCGCGCGCGGCAAACCCCCATTGCTGGCACAAACAGGGCCACGAGGCCTGCGTCCATGGGCAAATGTTGCGATGCGGGCAGGCTGAGGATGGAGGGACGCGTAGAATGGCAGTGATGGTGCCCAGACCACCGCTGGACGCGCTCCGAGGTGGCGTTCACTACTCCCGACGACCGTGGCTAAAACCACGAAATTATCACGCACCCTATTTCGTCTCTTGCCCCTCTATCTTGACGTGCGAGGCCCCAGGCGGGCAGAACAGGTTTCAGTCTCTCTGTTTGATGCACCAGCTGCCCAGGATTTACACATAGATGGAGAACACTGCAGTAGCGACTTGCTGCGCGAGCTGGGCCAGACCCCCGTCTCAACACCACCGGGAGGCAAGCGGGTGGAATATCAGTGATCTCGAGCGAAAGCGAGGAACTGGCACCCTCACGAATGCACAAGCTGTGCGCGTTTGTTGAGTAGTTTTGCACTTCAACATCAATCCCGCTTCACAGCTGTGCGTAGGCTGCGTTCGCGTGAGGTCAGCAAGCTGCTGGCAGAGCAGAGTCTGAGGGCACCGATCGGCCACCGTCTGCGGTGGCGGGCAGACCCGGCGACTTCGAGACTGAAAAGGATCACGAAGTGTAGTATAAAGAGCATGGTTTGGCATGTGGCTGCCGCTCGGATGAGGGTCCATGCAGTGTCATAAGAGATGCGGCTGCCAAGTCACTGTGCAGGCGCCTTTCCTCCTGCACACGCCTTGGTCGCGCAACATGCGAGGGGTGTGTGCGCGTTGAGAAGGAGGGTGCAAACGCGCAAGAAAAAAGAATTTCCAGTAATGATGCCACAGCATTACTCTTGAATGGTCTGGACGAGCGGCGGTGCCTGCCTTGGCAGCTGCTCTTGTCGGCCGCACAGGTTGCATGTCATCCAAATTGTTGTGTTCCCTCTTGCATTTCCCACATGTGGATGCACACCCATAAGCTGATCTCATTAACCATGGCTGGAAATCTGACGACCATGGCTGCAAGCGCTGTCACAAGGGCAGTGTGCTAAGTGCCAAGTGTGCTGCCGCATCACTTGCGCCTTGACCCGGCTCTTTCATGCACAGGCACGGTACTCGGATTTTTCAGGATGACGCTGGCAAGGACATGGTACACTTAGCATAGTGTCAATTGCCTGCAATGGTGCTGGCTCAGCGTAGTCAGCTGGTCAGAGAAAAGTCAGCTGGTGGGGGGAGGTTGAACACTTATTGCCGCAAGGGCTGCTGCGCGGGGGGCACACGCACAGAGAAGCGCACCGAGCCCCGACCGGCCTCTGCCCTCCTGGCTGCAACCTGACAGCCAGCATGTGACAACGTTCATTACATGGCACAGGCCGTGCGCTTCAAGCAGCTGGCGCAGGCGGCGCGTTGTTGAGGGGCGCCTGAGTGGGGCGGCATTCGCCTTGTGCGAGCAGTGGGCAGGCATGCGCGTGCACGCGCGCCTTGCGTGTGTGCGTGTTGTGGGCCTTGACCGGCGTGACAGGCACGATGGCGGGTTGGAATTCGGGTGTGGCGCGGATTTGGAGGGGCCCCGAGCGGTGCTGCTCATTATGCTCGTTGCACCCACAAACCAGCGCCACACCGACATAACACCGCGACCGAGAGACGGGCGATGTGCACGCAGCAAGCTGAGAATCCACAGCCGCAGTGATACAATGCTGGAGGGGGGGGGACACCCACGATACAAGGTTGAGTCGCACGCAAGAAACGGGCAGGAGCGCTCTCTCAGGCTGACTGGCAGAAGACTCTATAAACCCCCCTACAGCAGCTCATGGGTGTCTGAATTTGAAGGGGCGCGCAGGGCTCCGCGGCCCCACGGGCGCCGCATCAGCGAAAGCATTCGCCCAAGACCGCTGCACCACAAACGCAGGCCGCGTCGTTTCTGTGCTAAAATGGCAAGAACTCTTCCTAACAGCAGGCAACCAAGCACGCGGCCTGGTGCAGCCGCCACGACGACTCATCAGGCGGCCCCCCTCACTCAAACTCGAAAAGCAGCGGCGGCTCGTCGAGCGCCGACGCGGACGCGGACGCCGTGTCGCTCGGCGCCGGCGCCAGCGACGGCAGCAGCGGCGCGGGCGGCGCGACGGCGACGCCCGAACGCGGGCCGGAGCCCTCCTCAGTGTCGCGCCCGGCCTCGCCGTCGCCGCTGGCATCGCTTGGCGGTGCCTTGGGTCTGACAGCGGCGGCGCCGCTGCCGCGGTCCTGATCACGCTTGGTGTCGCCGTCACGACCACCCAGGCAGGCCGTCATCACCCCAAGCCCCGCGACTCCCGGCTCCGGCGCGCTGCTGCTTATGTGCCGCGGCGACGCCGCAGGCCCCAGCGGCGTGGCCGCCGCGGCCGCGGCCGTGGCGGCGGGGCGCTTGCAGCGCACGGGCTCTGCGGTAG